ACACACACACACACACACACACACACACACACACACACATGATCTCACTGTATAGCTCATGCTGTTCTTGAACCCATGATCCGCTGCCTCTGCCTCTTTAATGTTGGAATTACTGGGGTGTGTCATCATGTCTAGCTTGGCTCATTTCTTTCTTTTTAAAAAGTAAGTGTGTATTTTAGGATTTATTTTTAAGTGTGTGTATGTGTCTGTGTGACTATGAGCACATGAGTGCAAGTGCCCACAGAGGCCAAAAGAGGGTTTCAGGTCCCTGGAGTCACAGGTGGTTGTGAGCCATCTAGTGTTGGTGTTAGGAACTGAACTAGGATCCTCTGCAAAGGCAGCAAGCACTCTTAACCACAGAGCCATGTCTCCAGCCCCACCTCTCATTTCTCCATGCTCACACCTGTATTCTCACTCTATAGAAGAACATCACACCCTATCTCTCTTTGTGACATTACACTATCCATCTGCTTCTTATTCTGCATCTTGACAATTCTGGCCTTCTGGGTTCATTTTATTACTTTCTTAATTTCATGCAATCCTTGTTTTTCCAAAATAAATTACCTGGTAGGTTTATACCGTCTGTCTATTATTGAGGGCATATTTTCATACCTGTGAAAAATGGCTCTTCAATGACTTTTATGTGTGCTAGTCTTCAAGAATTCCATGAGTTCCCCAACTCTTAAATGGGGTTTCCCAAGCAAAAAAATGTGATTTATTTTTCAAACCATCCCTCTATTTTGATTTTCATGTTTGGAATCTCTATTTATAGTTTTTTATTTTAAAGGTCAGTTCTTCAGGAAAGTATAAAGCCAGAGTCACAAGCAAATTCAACAATAAACTATAATACCATCCATATGTCAGTTCTAAAAAATGGTTTTCAAAATTACAATGTTTTTGTTGTTGTTGTTGTTATTGTTTGGCTTTTTAGCCTGAACCAAGATGGTAAATAAATGCTTCTGCCTCTCTTGACTCAACAGAGAAATTCATTACTCTTGTCTTGGCCCTCCCTCCCTGTAATGGGTGTTATCCCCCTGCCTCCAATTTGTGCCTGCCACATTAAGAAAGAAGCATGTTACATTCAGAGAAATCCCTTATCAAGAAATCCTTATCTTATACACCTTGCCTATAAGCTTATATCAGGAAGTGACTCCTAAGTGCACTCTCTATAGGTAATTCTTCTAGCATCTGGTATACTATATGGCTTCTTCAAGTATCTACAGATCTATGTCCTACTTGACTACCCCCAAATGAGTTCTTGCCATACTCTTTCTCCATCCCTTCACTCATTCCCCCAATCACCAGACATCTTAGCTATATGTAGGCAACATCTCCAGAGGCCCCAGGCTCTTTTGACCTGACTCTCCTTATGCCTACCTCTTTCATACACTTCTTCCTAGAAAACAGGGTTGTGCTGTGTGGTCTACAGAAGTTCTCCTGCTGAGAGCTGTTGGTGAGTTCCCAAAACTTTGCCCTTTACTCCTCCTGTTTACTTTGTTGTCTTATAAAAATGAAGACTTCTTACCAGGGACCAAGTTGCTGAAATACCATCCACACAAAAAATAAAGGATTGAATCAAACAGAATCATCCAGCAGACCCAGCCAAATGTCATGCCCCCTGGCTCTGGGGCTCGGTACATGTGACTCCACTGGATTCCTGCCAGAGCAGAAAGAACAGAATTACTTGGGTCAATTCTTTTACTGTTGGTCTGATGTGGGACTTTCCTAGTTCTAGAGGAGCCTCTTGTAAAACAAAAAGCAAGTCCATGCTAGCCATGTTAAGATGCCAAAGGCATCATTAGCTTGTGTGGTCACAACTCTTTTTCAGAGGGACCCATGAGCAACCATTAGCATCACGTCAATCTCCAACATTCCAAAGCTCTCTGAAAGTCATTTATATCTAGTTTTACTGACTCAACTAAAGAACAATTTTATATTTATGGACAAAAGACATTGTTTAACAAAACTTTAAATGATGTAATACCCTGCTTTTGGAAAATACATTAAAAAATACATAGAAAGTCTATAGTGGAAAATAATCATTATTTTTTTATGTTTGTGATTTATTTCTAGATTATAAATTGAGAACACTATTTCTCTTTCTATTCATTGTGGCAGTTAGTGAGAACCCAGCTTTAAAAAGTTTTAACCACTGTATACTTGCTATTGTTTTGACCAAAATAATCAATTAATTTAATTGTGAGTACTTTTCGTCTCTATCTTCTTGGCCCAGCTTTTACTTTGAAGATCAGTTAGAGAAAAAATGGAGAAAGAAAACATTTTCTTTGAGACATGATTTTTCTGTGTAACATTGGCTGTCTTGGACTCTCATTGGAGACCAGGCTGGCCTCAAACTCACAGAGATTCCCCCTGCCTCTGCCTCCCCGAATGCTGAGATTAAAATCTCAATGTAAGTAAAGGGTGTTGCCAATACATTTAAAATTATTTTAAGGGACTGCAGATGTAATCCAGTTGATAAATTTGCTAGCCTGCCACACACAAGACCCTAGGGTCAATCCCCAGCACTCCATAAACAAAATGTTGTGGTGGATGTCTGTGATCCCAGCACTTGGTCTTGGCAAGAGGAGCCAATGTTCAAGGTCATCCTCAGCTACACAGAGAGTTCGAATCCAACCTGACCTAGACAACTTATTTTTAAAACATTTATTTAAGCTGCATATGGGGATAAATATGTACATAAAATGGAGATGATCGTGGTGACCTTTTCTTTGCTAATTAAATGTAAGACCCGGAAAACAATGAAGGTGAGAGTAGAAGGTAAAAACTGAAGGAAGGTTTGTACTAGTTCAACCACAGTCTGGCAGATGGAGAGCATGTGCATACCCCACTACTGGAAAAATCTAGAAGGTTGGTAGATTGACTGTATATCGTAAGATTGACTATGTACCTACGCCTGGATTCACCACCAGTCTTGGTGGTATCTTCAGCACGAGATGCTGTGATGTAATTACTTTTTACTGTTCTCAGAACTATAACAAGTAGGTAAGGGGAAGTTTTCCATTAGCAAAACCAAATATTAAGACCTCCTTTGAGAGTTTTCACTTGGTAACAATACTTTCCACCCGTTCCATTGCCTGATAGCTACATGTTCCCAAATGCTGAATCACAGACAGCCACCTCCTAAGAAGTCATCCTCTTACCTTCCTCCTGTCCCTCCAGAAACGTAATGAAAAAGACTCCTTGTCCAAAGGCTGTGGTCGAGAGCAAGCACTGCCGGGGTGGATGGGGTGGGGAGAAAATAGCCATTAATGTTTGATTATCAACAGAAAACTCACAACAACCAATTCAAAGAAGATACCCTCCCCCAATTGAAAGGTTTTAAGGATAGCACTGCTTTGGGCAATGCCTTAAATATCTGACCCTGAAGGGGTTAGCAGAATGTCAGACCACTCTGAAAACCATGCTTATTTTTAATGCTAAAATGAATTATTTCTTTTCACTGCAACACTTGAGGTATCGTAAATTCAATGCCCCGAATACAGAAACATGTATTACAAAACAGTGGGAAATGAAATATATCAATTCACTATTATTTCTTATTGTTAAATGTATGCCTTGGAGCACTCTACAAGCACACTGATGCAGTGTCTACACAATTTTACACTAGAAAGGAAGTGTATTAAAGGAAGCTGTTAGTTCATCTTCGGTGGAAGAGGGCCTGGTGCAAAAAGAGGAAAACCACTGGGAAAGTGACTTACATTTTACATTTAAAATACAATGTATGACAGGTAAAGGTCATCACTAGCTAGAAAGCATCTTCATGCACAAAACAAATGCTAGAAGTATAGGTGCCTTAGACATAAGAACTGAAGTATAAGCGAAAATCAGAACATCTGAATCTTAGTTCAGGTCATATTTCAAAGAAATGTATGAGCGGGAGATAGCCAGGGTCCCAATTGAATTAATTATTTTAGGAATATCTGACTAATTCTTACACAAAATTATTGCTTTTAAGTTGCTGCAGGTATGATATAAGCTCATCAAAATGATGAGAAAATATCAGCACAACACGTATAAATTTAACTATTTATCCTAGTGTGCATATCTATATTAAGTATATTTGACTAAAAAAAAACAAATCAGAACAGCTCAGCCTGGTGTTGCCTGCCTGTAATTCCTGCTACGTGGAAGTTGATGCAGGAAAGCTGAAAGTCTAAAACCTGTATGGCCTAGAGAGTGAGTTCAAGACCAGCTGGAGCAACTTAATAGAACTCTTTCTCAAAACAAAACAAACAAACAAAAAAAAAACTAAACAAAAAAATCATAGAGCACTTGTCAATTATATTTCAATATTTCAGAGCATAGATTTAATTCTCAATTCCCGAAGAAAGGGGACAAATACAATACTGAATTGTTACTTAAAAAAAAGAAGTTGGAAGAATTAATTCGGCCATTATACATGCTCTGAGGCTCTAGATGAACACAAAAGGTATTCTCCACTCTGGGAATGAATAACACACTCATCTTTCAAGAATTTCATGTTGGAAAGAGCTTTTTTTTCAAGTCTTTATGTTAATTTTTGAGAATTTTATATGACTACTGTTTTACATAATTTCCCTCTCCCTCTCCCCCTCAACTCTTCCTATGCCCCCCAAGTCTCTCTAAAATTCATGAACTCTTATTTAATAACAGTTATACACATACATATACACACACTTGCATGCACACACACATGTATATATATATATATATAGATAGATAGATGTATACATACATATATATATATACAGTTTACTGAGTCCATTTACTGTTGCTCATATATGTATATGTTTAGGGCTCATTGGCATAAGATAATCTATTAGAGAAGACTTCTCTCCCTTTCTCAGCAGTCATTAATTGCCTGTCACTCTTTACCTAAGGTGGAGCCTTGTGAGAGTTCCTCCAGCTACCTTATTACGTCAATAGCTAGTGTCATTTTTTCATGTCTTGTTTAAGCGATCATATTTCTGAGACTTCATGGTGCAGCTTCCCTGTCATATACAGAGGGCACTATCTCACAGTAAACTTCCTGATCACCTGGTTCATAAAATTATCCCACCCTCTTTTGCCCAATGTTTCCTGAGGTTTAGACATTGCCTTGTAGAAGTATCTACAAGCAGCAAGGCACCCTATGGTCTATTGTTCTCTGCACCTTGACCAGTTTTCAGTTTCCAAATACTCCTTAGCAATCTAGGGACTCGAAATGTCCCTAAGCCCTTCTCAAGGTGATTCTGGTCACACCTCTAACAGATTGTTATTTAGGGACATTGACTTACTGGCTGGAAGAGGGAGACGTAAATTGGTACAGATACAACTCTAACTCTGTAAAGACATGATGTAATATTGATGTGTTTACCTCCTCCATACTGACTGCTTTCCTACTATGTGTCAGGCACAGTGCCTCCCAGACAACAGTCAAGAAAAAAAATCGGTTGCTCTCTTCTGCACATTTTATACTGCAGACTTGAAAGCATTCTTACTCTTTTTCAAGGCATACATATCAAATGGATGAGTGATTCTGACATTGCTAACAGAGAGATCTTTCCACTTAATGTGATGTAGCTCATGATGCTTCAAGAAAAATGCTTATATTTAACTTCCAAAATAGCTTCAGAACTCGATTTCTTTCCATGCATGAAACAAAGAGAACCCGAAGTTATATGTTTCCTTGAGGAGGATGCTGACTTCCCAGAATCCTCAGAGAGACCCTATTACAGAAAACTGATAATTCTTAATAGCCTGACACTACATCACTGCAAGTCAATGAACCACCACTGTAAGCTTTGCATCTGTGGGCAGAATACAGAGGAGAGGCCCCAGATGTTCCATATAAGTTAGAGCAAGACAGACCGGTAAGCTGGGGATGTGCCATGCTTAGAGGGCACCTATAGGTTTTAGTTTGCATTTTTACAGAGCATCTCACTCACCAAAAGGGTCTGGATGGCAAAGCTGAGTTGGTTGTGTAAGACCAACAGCACCACGTAGGGCAGAAAGCTGATCATGTACCCCAGGCTGGTACACAGGGCTGCTGTATTAGCTTGGTTGAAAAACACACTTAGGAAGTAGCTCAGCATGACAGCTGACACTCCAAAATCCAGCAAGAAGAGAAAAATGATAAAGGCATCACTGTGCATGAAAATGCCACTCATCTTCAGAATGGCAGCAAGAGCAGCACTGCTTAGAGCCAGCATGGCCATGTTTTCCAGGAACCAGGAAAGGAAGTGAATAGCTGGATGCAGCCCCATCATTCGCATGTACTGTGAAAAGAAGGAGCCTTGGGTTAATCACCGCAGTGGACACTTGAGAAAAAGCAGATGAAATCATCAGCAAGAGAAATACCAGTGGAAAAGTAAGTGATTTGGTTTGTCACCAACCCTAGAAAGGGCATTAAGAAGGTCACTTCCTTCTATGATGATTTGTCAGACATGACTTCATAGCTATCATTATGTTCTTGGAGAGAAAACTGAAGCTAGACATAAAACAGGGTTGCCAGTAAGAACCACAGAAAGAAAAGGTATGAGAAAAAAAGTCGTAGACTATAGATTTGATTGACACAGTTTTGTTACATTTTTTGTTTGTGTGGATTTCTTGTCATTGTCTTAACTTTTGTTTTCCAGTCTATTTGTGCAGGTTTTGTTCGTTAAAGGCAAAGAATGGTAAAGGAGGAAATGCTGAGATTAACTCCCTGTCTGAGGTGGACGTTACAAGGGCTATGGAATGCATTTTACAAAACAGTCTTGGTAAAACTAATAAAGTCAATTTCTCCTCTAATCTGCCATTTGTTCATATATCACATGGTGATATTTTGACAAATAGGATTGGCTTCATGTGAAAGGAAGTTAGATAGCTCTGAAGTATGGTCTCTTGCTAACCACTTAATGGATACATTAAAGAGCCCAGCAACTGGAAACTCTGTCTCCAAGTCCCTGTGCTTGGGGATCAAAGCCACTTAGGGGAGGAATACATATATCATTGAGTAAATGGTTTTAAACAGATAAGTGATATGTAGATTCATAATAGTTGATCACATGTTTCCTACATTTCAGTAACTATTCAGTAATCAAACAATGAGTGTCTATCATCACCTGCCATCACTCTTCTTCAAGGATCAACAGGCTATCACACCGTCACCAGATGCTCTTACAAATTTTCGTTCTTAAAAGCAGTTGTCTGATACTTTCAAACTTTACTATTAGAGCAGAAGTACTAGAATTCTTTGTATAGAACCTGAATCAGACATGAAGGTGGGAAGTGATGTTTTATAACAGTTACCAATGCGCAACAGTGGCTCTGTTACCTTAATCTCATGTACTTTGCTTGTTTCCCCGTCTGAATGGAAAATATCTATCATATTTTGACAACCCTTCTGACTACAATAGAAAACAATGTTCCTGGGAAGGAGACTCTGCTGGAGCCAAGGAAGGAGTTCAGCAAAAGAAAGGAAGGATAAAGAGAGAAGCCAGGTGCTCAACGTGGAGGACCACTCCTCAAACCCTCTGCTGTGATCCCACACACAGTATCAACACCATTTACCTCTTCTATCCGGATCTCTCTCTCATAAACCAGCTTCCGGACCATGCTGGCCACAGACACCATCCAAGTCAGCATCATAATCAGCGGAAAAAAGAAGCCAACGTTGTTCAGGAACCTGTCAAGGTATAATTAATTCAATCAATATCCAAGGGCAAGTGAGGTCAGGGGCAAGTGACTCGGATCAAAAATATGCTAAGGTCTATGCCTCTATCAGATATTGGTCATGGCTTTGTTTTACAAGTTATAAGACACCTACAGAAACATTACCTCAAAAGGCCTGTGACAAAGGCATTTGGGCTGCAGTCAGCATCCTGGTTTACAAATGTGCAGATACACAAAGGGTATCATGCTGGAGACATGGGACTTAAGGTGCCTCAGGTAACCATTGCCTGACTGCTGACACTTGGTATAGATGGAGAAGGTTGCAGATATGAAACACGCCATTGACTCATGACGATAATTCTTCCCAGCTAATTAGGACCATTATGTATCTTCAATAAAAGGTAACAATTGATCATAAAAAGTCATTTATAAAAAATGTAAAATGTGGTAAATTAATGTTTCTCACCTTTTCTATTTCTCCAGGTTGTACTTGCCTACCTACTCTAACTAGGCTCCATTTGTAAAGCATAATGGGGTCTTGATGACACTTGTGTCCTAAATCCAACAAAAACTGATAGTTTTTCCTCCCTTTGTGACATCAATTTTGCTTAAAAGTAGTAATCACTCCTTTACTCTCTTCTTTCGGCTTCCAGAACAACTTGTTCTGCACCACTGCTAGGCCGCTTTCCAGATACCTTAACTAACAACTTCTTCTTTGCCTGTCCTTTTACATGGACATTTCCATTTGAACCACAGAGTGACCGCCAGGCCCTCTGTTTTCTACCCCTGGGTGAGTTCTAAATCCACACGGTAATTGTACTCGAACAAACAACAGCTTAACACACAAGCCATACCACTTCATCTGTGATACTTGCAGGAACCACCTATAAAAGGTCCTGAAAATAAGGACACCATCCTAGGGGGGCAGGAAAGATAAAATAGCCACTAAGCAGAGGTCTGTTACATGATGTCAGATAATAGGAAACACTGAAGAGAAAGCAGCAGTTGTGAGAAAGAGTGTCATACAGACACTGCTAAGATAAGTCATCAACAGAGAATAGCTTGAACAAAGAGCATATAAAACATAGAAGGGAAGTGAATAGGAGAACTGCAAGAAGACACGAAGAACCAAAGTGCATGGGCTGGTGATGAGAGCTGGCAAGGTGCTCACAGCTTAGGAGATGTGGTGAGAATCCCAGCCTGGCCAGATGGTGCAGGGAGCTTTACACAGCACAGTCAGTTCTGAAGTTTAGTTAATAAAGAGAGGACAGCTTCATATGGAGAAACAAAAAACCCAGAATCTCCAAAACAATCCTGTACAACAACAGATCATCTGGAGGTATCTCCATCCCCGATCTCAAGTTGTACTACAGAGCAATAGTAATAAAAACTGCATGGTATTGGCGTAAAAACAGAAAGGAGGATCAGTGGAACCGCATAGAAGACCCAGAAATAAACCCACACACCTATGAATACTCGATTTTTGACAAAGAAGCCAAAACCATTCAATGGAAAAAAGACAGCATCTTCAACAAATGGTGCTGGTCCAACTGGATGTCCACATGCAGAAAAATGAAAATAGATCTATATTTATCACCCTGCACAAAACTAAAGTCCAAGTGGATCAAAGACCTCAACATAAAACCAGATACTCTAAATCTGTTAGAAGAAAAAGTGGGGAACAGCCTAGAACTCATTGGCACAGGAAACAACTTCCTGAACAGAACACCAACAGCACAGGCTCTAAGAGCAACAATCAATAAATGGGACCTCATGAAACTGAAAAGCTTCTGTAAAGCAAAGAACACTGTCATTAAAACAAAACGACTGCCTACAGATTGGGAAAGAATCTTCACTAACCCTTTATCTGACAGAGGACTAATATCGAGTATATACAAAGAACTAAAGAAGCTGAAAAGGGGCAAACCAAGTAATCCAATTAAAAAATGGGGAACAGAGCTAAACAGAGAATTCTTGACAGAGGAATATCAAATGGCAGAGAAGCACTTAAAGAAATGCTCATCCTCATTAGCCATCAGGGAAATGCAAATCAAAACGACCCTGAGATATCACCTTACACCCATCAGAATGGCCAAGATGAAAAACTCAAGGGACAACACATGCTGGAGAGGTTGTGGAGAAAGGGGAACTCTCCTCCACTGCTGGTGGGAATATAAACTGGTACAACCACTCTGGAAATCTATCTGGCGCTTTCTAAGGAAATAGTGCTTCCTCAAGACCCAGCTATACCACTGCTAGGTATATACCCAAAGTTTGCTCAAGTACACAAAAGGGATACTTGCTCAACCATGTTTATAGCAGCTTTATTTGTAATAGCCTGAACCTGGGAACAACCCAGATGTCCATCAACGAAGAAATGGGTACAGAAATTGTGGTATTTTTATACAATGGAATACTACTCAGCAATCAAAAATGAGAAAATCATGAAATTTGCAGGCAAATGGTGGGATCTAGAAAAGATCATCCTGAGTGAAATATCCCAGAAGGAGAAAGACAAACACAGTATATACTCACTTATATAGACCTATAAGATGTGATAAACATAATGAAATCTGTACACCTAAAAAAGATAATCAAGAGAGCGGACATGGGGTAAGATGATCAATCCTCGTTTAGAAAGACAGATGGGATGTGCATTGAACGTATGACAAGAGTCTATTGAGCGCATTTGAAAGACTCTAACTAGCAGTGTTTTCAAAGCAAAGACTTATGACCAAACCTTTGGCAGAGTACAGGGAATCATAAGAAAGAAGGGGAGTTAGTCTGATGAGGAAAGAATAGGAGCTCCACAAGGACCAAATATTTCTGGGCACAGGGTCTTTTCTGAGACTGACATTCAACCAAGGACCATGTATGGATATAACCTAGAACCTCTGCTCAGATGTAGCCTGTGGTAGCTCAGTAACCAATTGGTTTCCCATAGTGAGGGGAACAAGGACTATTTCTAACAGGAACTCAATGACTGGCTCTTTGGCCTCCCCACCCCCCAAGGGAGGAGCAGTCCTGTTAGGCCACGGAGGAGGGCTTTGCAGCCAGTCCTGAAGATACCTGATAAAACAGGATCAGATGAATGGGGAGGAGGTCCCCCCCTATCAGTGGACTTGGAAAGGGGCACAGTGGAGATGAGGGAGGGAGGGAGGGACTGGGAGGGAATGAGGGATCGGACACGGCTGGGATACAGAGTTAATAAAATGTAACTGATAAGAAAAAAATAAAATTAAAAAAAAAGAGAAGAATACATCAAAGAGTTTTAAGATCGGGAGAGGCAACAGATAAAGAATACATTGAATCTTAGACAATGGAGCAGGGGTAGAGAGGCTCTGGAGAGAGAGAGAGTAAAAACACCACAGCAGATATGAAGCCATCTAAACAGGAGACAAAAAGGGTCACTAAAGATGTTGACCCTACCCTGAAGGCTGTGGTGGCCTCCTGCACCTAACTCAGGCTTCTTCTTCAAAGCCCTGCCCTTCTTGTGGAGCTTGCTCAGCACTAGTCACACCTGCCTCTCAGGCAGGCAGAGCCTTACTTCTTCACACAGGATTATGTGGCTTTAAGAGACTGAGCCTTTGCTCTTGACGAATCACATACTTTTTAATGAACGTATACGTGACCATAAAAGAGAAGGAGTTAATTTCTGTTTTAATTCACTTGGCTACATAAAACAACTTCTCTGAGCTACTGATGTAGTGATTCATGTGATGACTTTAAAACAAAGTGATTTCCATGCTGTGCAGCAACTATAGTGTGAACAGTCAGGGCATCCCCAGTGATAGAGCATTTGGATTCAGAGAACAGCAATCTTTTGATTCTCCTGTTTCATGATTTTCTTGGTGAAGGTGGTTATTATTTTTGTAGCATGTAGAACAGGTAGATAAGCATGTGCCATGAGTATATCTACCTATATGATAAAAGAGCCATTATCTGTTCTCCAGGAATAACACTGTTTGGCAGAAAGAAGACATTCTTAGGACCCAAAAGTAGAAAATAACCAATGTTGTTGAATCTATTTGATGGGGTGGGGGTTAAAATAGCTGCTTGTTCATAAACCTCATCTTTGCCTGAAACACTGAAGGTGATGACATCTGAACTCTTCTCTCCTAAGTACTGAGTCCGTATGTTAACCAAGTATACTTAGCTAACCCCAGAAAGTTACATTGGACAAGATTCCATGCTCTGTTACAAAGAACCCAAGAGAGATTCAGTATTACAGCAGCCTGAGCTCTTAGAGTAACTGTCTCAGCTTCACAGCATGGGAAATACCTCTCAAAGTGACTGACCAAAGCTGTTTAAGAGAAACGGTATAAGATTTTAAAACAGAGATTGTGAGACACAGCTTTTTGTCTGTTCCTGGGAACTAATCCAAAAATCAACAAGATGCGGAGAATTTGAATTTTGTCAAAGGCTTGAAAGGAACATTCAAGTATTAGAAAAACAGGCTAAAAACAGTCACATTCACATAGGACTCATCCATGCTAAGTAGATAAGAGAGATTTCAATAGCAAAGCCCATCCTTTGAAGATAGTATGTGCATTTTCAAGAATACATTTTCAAGGGAAAATAGGTACAACAGCACATGGTTAATGGGTGTCAAGCTGTACATTAAGTGGCTAGTATTAGCCAAGGAACATCTAGGACCTGTTTCTGGGAAACAGAATAAAAAGGACTTTGTTAGGGGTCCATAAAAATCTTTGTTGAAATTGAAGGAAAGCTTTTCAATTGTGTGACAGCTAATGACATCTCTCCCTCATGCCAACAGGATATCTCTCAGATGCACACTCAGTAATTCTGAGGGTGTTTTTTTTTTCTGTTGTTTTCTTTTTTTTTTTTTTTTTGTTAAGTGACAATCAAGGCAAGAGAAATGTAGCACAACACCCACCTATCTAAAAAACACAGAGATGCTGAGATTTTTTGGTTACTAAGGGAGGATTCAGAGCAAAAGGCTGGTAACATGGAACAGATCAAAATGGTGTATGCACTTGTTTTAAAATATCT